AATTCCTTTCACAATAGCATCCAAAAAACTGAAATACCTAGGAATCAACCTAACAAAAGAAATCAAAGACCTCTTCTCTGAAAACTATAACATTCGGAAAAGACAGATTGAAAAAGATATCAAAAAATGGAAAGACAGGGCCAGGGATTTAGCTCAGTGGTTCTTCTGCCTGCCTCACAAGCACAAGGACCCGAGTTCAATCCCCAGTACCAAAAAAAAAAGAAAGAAAATGCAAAGACATCCCTTACTCCTGGGAAGAATCAACATAGTGAAAATGGCCATACTTCCAAAACTGCTATATAGATTCAATGCAATCCAACTGAAATTCCAGCAGCATACTTCACAGACCTTGAGAAAACAATCCAAAAATTCATTTCGAACAAGAGGAGATCTAGAATAGCAAAAGTAATCCTAGGCAACAGAGACATGGCAGAGGGTATCTCAACCCCCAACTCAAAACTATAGTACAAAGCTACTGTGATAAAAACAGCATGGTACTGGCAAAGAAAGAGACCTGAGGACCAGTGGAACAGATTACAAGATGCAGAAACAACTCCAGACACCCTCAGCCACCTCATCTTCGATAAAGGAGCCAAACACCCTCACAGGAGGAAAGATAGCCTCTTCAATAAATGGTGCTGCAAAAATTGGGTTTGAACTTGCCAAAGATTAAAACTAGACCTGTATCTCACACCATGCACTAAACTAAAATCGAAATGGATTAAAGATCTAAATATTAAAACAGAAACACTGAACCAGCTGGAACAGAGGTTAGGTAGAACTCTTAAAGACATTGGTGTAGGAAAAGATTTTATGAACAAAACTTCAGTTGCCCATGAGACCTTATTCTATTTTAAATTCAACAGTAAATATTTGTTTTAGGTAAATCCTCTATTTCTAGACATATACTGAGTATAAAGGAATCACAATTAGGTATTTAAAATGAATTTATAAATGATTGTTCAAATCAATGATGTTTATTTTACCACAAAGTACTTTTAGAAAAAGGAAATCTCTGACGTTCACATGCTTTTTTTTTTACACTTTTGTTTAAAACTGGATTCAGAAAAAGTCTGTTAGGTAAGGACTCTGCATAATCTTCATAGAACATGAAAGCTAAGCATTTGGGAGTTTCAATCAAATTAAAACATTGCGAGAAATATTTCTAATATGCACAATCTAAAAAAGGCTGATGCCAAAACACTCTCCAATAAACCAGCAAGTAAACTAAAAATAAGGAACATATTAAAAATAGTAGGCAAGCCAGGGATTTAGCTCAGTAGTTCTGCCACCTGCCTCCCCAGCACAAGAACCCGAGTTTAATCCCCAGTACCAAAAAAAAAAAAAAATAGTAGGCAAAAAATAAGTCTTATTCAAGCATCTTCCCCCTCACTTTCCAGTTCCTAGAAGCTGTTTGGGAGATTATATAACCACTGAGGTATGTTTTTATAGCAAAAATGCTTTAAGCAGGAGATAGATGGGAGGGCAAGAACTATTATCTAACAGCACTCTCTTTTGCAAGCTGCATAAAAACAGTTTCTTCATCATGGAAAGAAACCATGAAAAACAGAGGAAGCTGGTTATAAATACTCCAATTAAATCAGATACAGCCCCATGGTATTAAGGGCCTACTCCTTTTACTGACAAATAGCTTTGTAAAGACAACAGTAATATAATTTTACTCCACTTCCCAAAGAGTCTGGAAATCCCTTGAAGGTAGATGTGTCTCCCTTTAATGACAAAAATCATGTTCCACACATAGTGTTTAATAAGTCTTCCTAGTAAGATTTTATTTTTGTAGCATTTGGTGGCATATCCACAGTAGGACAGTCTGACCTGAGGTCACACCCCTTTAAGAAGCAAGGCAATGACCACATCCCACTCATTCTGTGTGTATCAGGTGCATCCCTCCCATAGCCTCATGCCAGCATTGTTACCTACCTTTAATTCTCAGTGCGTAAGCTGCCTGACGAAACGTCACACAGTGCCTGCTACCCATAAACCCTATACTTTAATTTAATCAATGCTATTTTTAGAATTTTCTTCAGCAAAAAGACAAACTAATATGTGTTCTGGGTCCTTCAGTTTAATTTATACACCCTATTTATTACAGAAAACCATCAATGTGACAGCCATCTATAGAGGGTACAGAAATACACAGCTTGTTATTTTGTAGGGGTTTTTGTTTTGCTTTGGAGATTGGGGGTTGGGGGTGGTGCTGGGAACAAACCCAGGGCCTCAAGTGTGCTCAGCACGTGTTCTATCACTGAACTCTACGCCTGACCCCTAGTTGTTATTTTAAAGATAATAAAAAAGTAAACCTTAAGTTGGACCTGCCTATAAGGAAAACTATGACTCCAATTTTTCTTATAATTTCAGGATATATATCATGATTTACTGTTAAGTATAAATACAAGGGCTTATTTTTAAAACTGACAAGTTATTCTATATGTTTATGGGGTACAATGTTATGTTGTGATGTTAGGTTTGCAATGTGAAATGATTAGGCTAACTGACAAATCCATTATACCTCACATACTTATTTTTTTTTGTAGTGAGAACATTTAGAATCGACTCTTAACAACTTTGAAATGTAAAATTTATTATTACTTCTTATAGTCACCACTCTGTGAAATAGATTACTCAAGCTTATTCTTCTAACTGAAACTCAGTACCCTGTAATCAACGCCTTCTTCTCTTCTTCCATTCCCCTCACCAGCTTCTGGTAAATATCATTTTATTCTCCATTTTTATGAATAATACCTGAATTTATATTCATACCTGCATATGTTAATCAGTTTATATCTATCAATTAAAGTATAAAATAATTACCTTTAGTTTTTGGGCTTCTTTTTTATCCCCAGCAAAAAGTGAATTCTCATCAAAATGCAAAGGAAATGACCTGCGTTTTAGAATAAAAAATATTTATTTTCATGCATTATAAATATTAAAGGCCTTGCTAATATAGTATTTTGCTGGTCAATAATAAATAATATAATTCAAATAGAGCAGAAAACAGTAAAAACAACACTTTGATGCAAACAAATTATTTTCTTGAATAAATGTTAACTGTATAACATAGTAGAGGTTTGGCCCCAAACTCAATGTGTTCCAACTAAATATAAAAATAATGCAAGTGTCACGTACTAAAAAAATGGCTCTTAAATTTAAAAATTTGGGTTTTTGGTACACAGATCAAAATAAAAGCAAAACTTGATCTGAAAGGTCCCATGAGCAAAATTAGCTTTTAATTATTTTTCAAACAGTTTTCCTTTCTCTACATAAATATTGAAGAATTTTAGATACCACTTGTCACTCATCTATTAATGTATAAGTTGCAATATAACTTACTTGATTTCATGAAGTATTTCCAGAAGTAACATTTTGTTTTCTGCATCCTGAATTTTATTTCCAGTGAAGAGCTGAAAATCTGGGCGCTCAAAGAATGGTAACACTTTAGATAAAGCCCTTAATTCAATTAAGTAGAGAAAATACAAGTTCTTAAGCCTTCTTGGGCCCTCTCCTTCAGTCAGAATTCCATCAAACCGCTGCTGAAATTCTGTAATGTTATGTCCCCACTTCGTTTCTAGCCAGGTATCTGGGAAGAGAAAAATACTAAAAACTGAATTTTACTTAAATAATTTTCATTTTAATTGTATTAAGTTATTTATACTTGCCGAAGTTAATTTCATTTTGTATTTTAAAATATACATATACCACCAAGAAAATTAGCCCTTTAAAAATTCCGTTAAGATTTTATCTTCTGAAACCCAGCCTTAAAGAAAAAATGAATTCAATGTTTTATTGAGAAAGTAATTCTGATAAAAATCACATTTCTGAAGGTAAACATATTCATAAAACCAAAATACATAATTAAAAAATCACTATCTAAAATTATTAACAAGTTTGAAGGATTATTTCAAATCAAAGTCACTATTTTGTTTCTGAGAGGTAAAATCCTCTAATTCCCAGAGAAATACGTTACAGACGAAAATGAATCATGGTCTCATTTATCAACAGTATCCCTGAACATAAAGAACAGCAGAAAATGCTTTACCCATTAGAGCTGGCCCATAAAAAAGCTCAGACGTCACATCTAACAAATAATAAACTGCTGTTAGGAGCTGGTTCAATTCCCACAACAAAAGAAAACAATTATTTCCAAAGTGTGATTTTAAGCAGTTTCTTAAAAGATGGTAAGGAATTAATAATATGCTGAGCTATTCAATTGTAGCAACAGTTTCCATACTCCTGGATTACCACCACTTCAGAAGAGATTTTAACAGCCTAATATTCAGGCAACTCTGTCTTTTCCTATTCAGATAAATACCATGAAGAATTTAAGAATGCTGAAAATAAGTGTGAAAAAGTACATGAAAGTAAATGTCACCTACCTTGTAAAAGATATCTTGCACTCAAATGCACATTAATGCTTGCATGTAAGCCAGATATAAGTCTGTAGAATGCTCTCTTTTCTACACAGAGGCCTAAAAAGAGTCAGTGATTTAGAAATAAAATTTCATATGTAAATCTTGTAGATTAATTTCATGATTCTAAAAATGAAAAAAATTTAAAGTTTAAACATTTCTAATTACCTTCTAGCCAACTGTAAAACGTGTTCTCTGAAATTAAAGGAAAAGTAAGTCACAAGTTTGTAAAAATGCCAAGACAAGTTTTTTCAAAGTGTTGAGCTACATTATACAAATTTTGTGCCAATATTTTAAAGACTATTTAACCGAAAGGTTCAAATCTTATTTGTAGCTTCTTCAAAGGAGGGAGGCAAGAAATGGTACAGGTTCAGTTAAGTACCAATCTGCTGGTCAGACCTGAAAGGGCTTTAGAATCATCTTAGGCAGGCACAGTCTCATCATTTTCTGGACAGAGTGTTTAATCTGATGCCAAAATACACAATTTAAATGGTAAAGCAATCAAAATGGGAAAATACCTAGCCTAGATAGCAATTCACGCTATTAAAATTAAGGACTCACTATAAATTAAGGATTCTGCTTTTTAAATTATAAAAATGAACAAAAATTGTAAAACAGCATTAGAGGTATGTTATTTCTACATATCAGATACTATTCCATGCTATTCACTATTTTAAAAGAGCAATTTAGGGGCCGGGGATTTAGCTCAGCGGTTTCGCTGCCTGCTGCACAAGGTCAAGGACCCGAGTTCGATCCCCGGTACCAAAAAAGAAAAAAAAGAGCAATTTATAGAATTGTTACAGAACTCAATTACCTATTATAGTCTATGACCTAATAAGATAGTTTTAGAAACTTGTTTTTAAAAATATGCTTTAAAGAAATAATATTTTTAAAAAGGGGCAAGAAATTCGAAGATTATGTTACAAGTTTTAAAACCCTGAATAATGAAAATGTACAATAATGTCTAAGTTAGTATGACAGAATACAATGTAACTAATTAACATGGTAAAATAACACATGTATTAAAATGACAAGAATTTACAACATAACAATACTATATGCACATGAAAATGTTTTGTTTGAAATATATAAAATATATAAGAAATCATTACAACTATGCAAAGATTTAGGTCTACATTTACTATAGAAATGGTAAGTACTGCATTATACAGGGTTATTTTTTACTGCAGTTGCTTATGGTGATATTAAAAATAAATCTCAACCAAGCATACAAATAATATAAGCAAAGACAAAGGGAATAAGCAATAAATTGGACTATATAAAAATTTAAAACGTTTGTTTATAAGAAAAGTATATACAAAAGCCAAATGCAAACCTCAAACTGGGTAAAATGTACGTTACAAATATGACAGAGGAATCTACCCTAAATACATAAAAAGATCATAAACCAAACTAAAATGCTAAAATGTTCATTAAAAAAGGCCCAGACACAGTCATTTTCTCAACCTGTGCTACTGCCTCCAGAATTATAAGGAAATAAAAATTCAGTTCTTCTGAGTCTCAGCAGTGGGAAAATGCATTTTTCTTTAAAATAAATATTGGGGCCAGGGATTCAGCTCAGTGGTTCTGACGCCTGCCTCGCAAGCGCAAGGACCCAAGTTCGATCCCCAGTACCTACCTAAATAAATAAATAAATAAATAAATAAATAAATAAAATACTGTATAAGCAAATCCATATATGTAACATATAAGAAAGAAGTTATACTTACCTTTGCTTTTTCCTGAAAAATAGAACAAAACATTTATTATTAACTTCTATCTGCCCCTTTTATAATGCTACACTTTCATAAAAATAAGACTTTCTAAACAGGAGTCATTTCAGTTCATCAGCTCACCACACAGGTCTGCCCATAAGACACTCAGGACTGCTACTCTGTCTGGCAGAGACAGGAATCCTGTCTGGGGTGCCTTGCGCATCTATCTTTAAGAGCTGCCACCAGGAGCTGCAACTCACCCAGACTTAACACAGGCTGGCAGGAGGGAGAAACCTAGTCCAGCACCTGAGGGTACTCTCAAATAGCTTAAGAACTTATGTTTACTTGGCTGCCTGAAACTTTTTCCAGTTACTGTCCTCAAGCTACAAAGTAATTTCTGTTAAAGATTTCTACTATTGCTCTGAAAGCTCCAGACTGACATTATAAGATTTAACCTTAGGAATATCTTCAAAGATGATAAAATTCAAATTACATATATATATATAACAGTTTGTATGTGGCTGCTTATTTATGATTGAAAGATTATCTTCATTTTGTTCATCTTTCTTTAATGCTATCATTGATTATTAAATATATATTCACTACAAATATGTTTATAAAAAAGATAGTTATCCATAACTCCCTACCCCAAGATAAATACCACTTATATTTTATTAAATATCCTTTTTCTTTGTGTATAGCTATTTTTATATATTTTACATATTTTTATAGCTTATAAAAATATATCATACACACATTGTTTTGATTCTGCCTTCTTGCCTCAATGTGCTACTGAGTGCTATTAATTTTTATTTGAATGAATGCAAATTTATGCCAACATTTATTATGGCTGTATTCTACTTGTGACTTTATATAAATCATTTAACCAGTTTCCTAAAGATAAACATTTAAACTATTCTTATTTACCTTTTTTTTCTCTCCCTGTAGTACTGGGCTTGGCACTGGGCTGTATCGCCAGCCCTTTCTTTGCTATTTATTTTGAGACAGGGTCTCAGCAAGTTGCCCAGGCTGGGCTCAAGCTTGAGATTACCCTGCCTCCGCTTCCCAGAGTGCTGGGCATGAGCCACCCTGCCCAGCTCCCATTTATCTTTAACATAAGTGAGGCTTGTTAATTTATCAGACTATAATGTGAGTTCAGAGTAAAGACTGCTACTTATCTATGAATTTGTATTTCATCTGACTTTAAATCAAGAGCTTCCACTTAAGTCACTGGATGTGACTCTGTGCAAACCCTAAAAGCCTTGTTTAAGAGGCTTTCCTGATCTAAGTCAGTCAACATTTACAGAATTATGCAACCTCACTGCCTTATAGGAAAAAAATTTATATTTATTGACTGTATGAGATCAGCATCTTTTCAAATAAATTTTAAAAATTATAAACTTACACATTTACTAAAAGCACATCAAAGATTTTATCAGTAAGCACATAGTCAAAGAGAACATGGGCCAAGATATTTCATGTACAGGTGCAAATTCCCAATGATGAATGCCATTATATTGTACACCTAAAATGTACCAATAAACTTAATGAATTAAAAAAATAAAATAAACTTTAAAATAAATAAAAAGAACTTGGATATATACGTTCTACAGAACAAGTCAGATCATCACTGAATCAGTCTATTCAACAAACCATTCTGCCTATTATTGACTAGGCAAGGTTTGAGGGCTTCAGTTGTACACTCTGCTACCTACACGGTGCCTAGCACAAGTATATGATGAATAATCATTTGAGGAAAGAACAAATGACTTTCACTGTTGTAGATAAGACATTCAATGAGGACTGCAAACACTGACAGTTTACCTAAAGGACTTCTCCATCTATTATGTATCAAGCTCTATATAAAGGGATGGAACAGATAAATGCTGGCCATATGCCCAGAATACTAAGGCAGAGCAGTAGGTAGATAAGCAACAATAATGACACCCATTAAAAGAAGGCTGAGTGAGACTACATGTCATAAGGTGACTTTGAGAGGACCAGGGAAAGTTTTGTGGAAAAGGTGGCATTTGGGCCAGACCTTGAGTGAAGGCAGAAATGAAAAATGCTAATGAGATATAAAGATACAAGTAAATTTAAAATCAGACTCCCAATATAGAGAATCTAAATAGAGTATCAACTTTTGGGAAATTTTGAGTTTTCTGAATATTCACTTATCTGAAAGATGAGTAAAAACTGAAATTAGTACATCTCCAAAAATATACAGAATAAGTCTTCATCTTATGTTAGCCTAATACCATGAACTTCAGTACAGCAACACTCCTTACTGAAACACAAGTACAGCTCTGCAGGGTGAGGCCCAACTGCAGACACAGGACCGTGGTGGCCCTGTGACCTCAGCAGCTCTCGCCATCTATCTGCCTTCCCTTTCCTTCTAACCTAAGTTCATGGCTGAGAAATAATAGAACAAACAAATAAGTGACTCACCTTGACCAGAGGCCAGAGGACTTAAAGGCCTTTTAATTGTCTGTGGCCTGCAAACAAAAGAATTAAAAGTACTGAATAAACATAAGTATGTTACCAGTCATGTTCTAATTATTCAAACAAGGTAATGTTATTTCAGGAAGTTACTTAATGACTATATCCAAGTCAAATGGTTTTATTGGGACTATGAAATATTTCTCTCTAATTGTACTAGAAATTATTGGCTGTTGTTTCAGAGATAATAGCTCCTGATCTCTTCCCATGAAAGCAGCCAGCAAGTCTTTTCCTAATCACTTCTTCAAACAGAAGAAAAAACACCAGTCAAGCTCTTCTCCACTAGTTACTAACATGTTTTTATATACATTATTAATATGTATGTGTGTACACCACAAAGTATACCCTTTACTGAAAGCCCAAAATATAAACATTCCAACATAAACAGTAAAACTCAGCAGTGAAAACTGCCAGTAGATTATTTTAAATTTAGGTAAACACAGCTGGCCCTGTGGCTATCAAGTTTGTTATGATTTGAATAAAAGGTTTTTATAATGGGAAAAAACAGCGAGTAGTTTTCTGGAGAATCAATTACTAAAGTGGCTTTAAATCCAAAAATAGGTATTAGTATTATTAATAAACTATAGGGGTTATTTTAATGTCATAAATTTTAAAAATCTATACAAGACATTCAAGAAAAAAATATAATCTATATTTTAGCAGAGTAATATAACAGTGATTATATAACAATATAACATTATTATTGATATGAGTCAGGATATAAATTAGAAAATAACTATAAAGCCAATATAAAACTAACAAGTGCTTTATACACTTAATTGACACTAAAGACAACAAAAAAACCTCTTTAAAATAAACTTTTAGGTCATCAAACCAAACATTTTGAATAGTATTCAAGAGAATTTAAATAAAATGCATGGTAGAAATGAGTTAATAATAAAAAGTTTTCACTTTCCAAACAAGAGAAATTCTTCAAGTCAAAACGAGAGAGAGAGAGAGAAGAAAAAAAGTAAAATGTATTAACCCTATACTTGGGAACTCCAAAGATTTTCCTAGAATTGCCTTTAGTCTCTGAGATAGCATTACGTACACATACACCCCCCAGACACACACAGAAATTTTTTGGAAAAACCAATTAGCCTGGTTCAGAACTTCAAGCTTCTAACTGAATAACATGAAGCATTCCTCAGTCACCCAGTGATCAACTTGACTGCCTCCACTAGAGGTTAGGAGTACAAAGTGGACCTTTCCACTTCCTAGATTTTTCATACTGAATGGAATGACTTAACTTCTCCAAGGCTCAGATTTTCCATCTGTAAAACAGTGATGACCCTAACCCAGCTCACTGTAAGAACTACAGGAGGAAATGCATGTAACATACAGGACACAATGATTGGCTACAGTCAGTGCTAAAAAATGTTACCTTTTAAAAATTATTCTCTGAAACCAATTTAACTTTAAAGCAGGTTGAAATAACTACAGCCATAGAAAGGACAGTGCACAGCACCAAAATGAGAAAGAGTTGTATACTCTAATCCATGCTCTGCCCTTGTTTGACCTTGGAAAGTGAAGCAAATCTCCCTGGATCTAGGTTATTTTATCTACAAAGTGAGAGTCTATAATCTCCTCAGGAACATTTGTTAACTCTCATAAACATCTGATACTATTCTAAGTCTTTTCAAAAAAGATTAAGTTTACATCATTATGATTTTGCTTATTTGTCTATAAAGAGAAATCACATCTTACAAGAATTTCTAAATGAAAATGACACATACTTAAAACAGTTTTCTTCATAGATGACATTCCATATCTTCCAAGCATCTGGTCCCTTGTAACCTGTGTAGCGCTCAGGATTAAGGAGCAAATCTACATATTCAGCATCAGGGGACTGTATGTCTGTAAAATAAAATGCTTTATTAAATCTTTTTTATCTTTAATTATCTTTAAAACCTAGTATACCAGCATGGTGTTGTACATCTGTAATCCCACCTATTCAAGAGGCTGACACAGGAGGCTTGCAAGTTTGAGGCCAGCCTGGACAATTTAGTGAGACTGTATCAAAGTTGAAAATGCAGAGCTAGGGATATATATAGCTCAGTGGTAGAGCACTTGCCTAGCATGTGCAAGTCCTGGATTCAACCCTCAGTACAGAAAAAAAAAAAGTTAGTGTATAAAAGCCTTGGTTCCAAGGGTTATGTCAAGGACATAAAAACTTTTTTTATTTTTTGGTACCAGGGACTGAATTTAGGACCTTGCGCTTGGGAGGCAGGCGGTGGCACCACTGAGCTATATCCCTGGCCTATGGACATAAAAATTTTTCAAGAGAGGGCCGTGGATTTAGCTCAGTGGTGCCACGTCTGCCTTGCAGCACAAGGTCCTGAGTTTGATCCCTGGTACTGAAAAAAAAAACTTTCCAAGAGAAAGAAAAAAAGAAAACAAGTAGCTACCTTAACTGTACACACTGGTTACAAAAACATCCTAGTTTAAAGGAATGGTAAAAGAAAAAAAAAATAGCAATGTGATTTTTTTTTTTTTTTGTACTGGAGATCGAACCACATTGAGTTACATCCACAACCCTTTATTTTTTGAGACAAAGTCTCGCTAAATTGCTTAATTGCCCAGGCTGGGCTCAAATATGTAATCCCATAGTACTGGGATTACAGGCATGCACTACTTTGCCCAGGGTATGTATGAATTTTAGAAATCAAGAAATATGTAACTCCATTCTCATAAGCCAACCAGACAATAAATATAATACACATTTTGTTTCACATTAACCACAGCAGTTCATCAGTAATTAAATAGAGTATTAGTGCCATGTACTACTTGTTTCCAAATACTTTTTTTGGTACCGGGGATCGAACTCAGGACCTTGTGCTTTCGAGGCAGGCACGGTGCCACTGAGCTAAATCCCCAGCCCCCAATTACGTCCATTACATCCACCATCAGGATCCCCCACCCAGCTTTCCTAAAAATATAATACTAAAATGTGAAAGTTATGTGCAGAATGATATTCTGTTAGAATTATTTATTAAAGGAAAAGCTGAAAGCAATTTAAATGCCCAATATAGCAGAGTAGTTAGAAGCACAGGCTCTGGAGCCGGAGTGCCTGGGTTGGGATCCAGGTCCTGCTACCTATTCATAATTTATAATACTGTATAATTTTAAGGATAATAGCTCTAGTCCTCCAGTGGCTCTTGGAAATTATTTAATAGTACAGCAATCTTCTACTAAACTGTAAACTTTAACAATACGAACTAGCAAATAATGAGGAAGGAGCCAAAATGGCCCAAGACCAACCAAAGTTTATGACAAAAATCTGACCACAGTGAATCTTACAAGAGAGGGGCTTGGGGCATGGCTCAGTGCTACAGCCCCTGTCTGGCATGTGTGAGGCCTGGGTTTGATCCCCAGCATAGGCAAGAGAGAGAATATCAAGCTCTCAACTATACCTATTTCTTTACTCAGTCACTGAACCACAAATCACTTTTAGTTACAAAAGGAGCTAAAGGATGTTAGTGGCATGATGCTTCCCAAGCCAGATCTAGGCATCTAGGATAATTAAAGTATTTTAGTACGTAGTTTACTGCCATAGTATCAAAGGTCAGTAACAGTGTTCTTTCTTTCTTCAAACTTACATATACCTTATGTTCCAGAAATTGCGTTAAGAAATACATGGAGACACAGAATTCAGGTAAAATAATAAAAGTTTACTTGCAAGCAGGCAGGACCCAGGAACTGGTCTGGTCAGTGTCCGCCCCCTCACCCCACCCCACCCCTGCTCTTTGTTAGTCTCCTCTTTTATACCTTTGTTAGTCATTATCTCATCCTTAGTGGTCTTTGTTAAGTAAATAAAATTCCAATTCCTGTTTAATGGTTAGACACAGTGGTTTCTGTCACTGATTACAGTACTAAACATATGACAGTTAAGGCACATATATCACAAGTTTGCCCAAGCATTGCAACTTTGTTCTTCAGAGTTAGGATGTTATCTGTAAGAAGGCTACAGATCAAAAGAGTCATATAACCTTCACTTTAAACAACAAGAGCAATGGGCTAAGGCAAGTTTTTAAAAGGGATACACTACCTATTTTGCTTCTACAACTACTTTAATAGTTAATCTACTAAGCAGTCTAAAACTTTTCCCCTATCACTTAAAGATAACTTGCATGCATTACTTTGGTCTCAATTATTTGTCACCCTAGTTAAACACTAAAGGTTTTAGTACTTCCTGTTCCCACACTGAAAGTTAGCTTTGCCTTCCTTTCCTTTCCTTTTCCTTCCTTCTCTTTCTTCCTTTCTTTTCCCTCTCAGATTTGCTCATGCCACAGAAAGGGCTCTTTTAACTTAACTGAAAAGCACTAAAAAGATTCCAGTAATTCAGAATAAAATTTATGATGGTATATTTGTCCTGCAAATGTCTTACTAAAATTGTTCTGAATAAAAAGTTCCTTATTGATCTGAGGGAAAAAAAAAAAAACCAATACCTATTTCTTTTTTTTCGTACCAGGATCGAATTTGGGTCCTTGCGCTTGCGCAGCAGGCAGTGAAACCACTGAGCTAAATCCTCAGCCCACCTATTTCTTATTATTAAAGAACAAAGACCAAAAAAAATTAGCTTGGCTTATTTCTATTCCAATGCCTACTCTATCAGAGGCATAAATTAGAGGGGAAGTTGTTTCTAGAAGAACCACAATGATGACATCTAGAAATGACTGAGCCTAACGCAAAAACAGAAACTAAAATAACCAGAAAAAGTACTAACAACTTCAAGAAACAAATGAGCACGGAATCATCTAGTTCAAGGATGAATAACTATTCATTCCAATGAATACTAAAAGCAATTGCCACCATATAAAAAATTGTAATAAATTTAATTTTAAAACCCCAGATTTTAAAAATATATAAATAATGCTCAGCATCCAGTACTTTAAGACAGAAAACTAACCACCAAGAAATGATTAAATTTTTAATAATCTACCTAGAGAAAAATATTTGTTGCCTAATAATTTTATGATAAATATTTCATCTCTTCAACTTTATAAAAAAAGTTAACTATTACCATATTTTGCCACATGAAAAAAACATACATTTCTAATCAGAATTTATAAAATATCTTTTATATTTCACCTATCATTTATATAAATTATTTATTCCCTGTAATGCTGCCCTTTTTTTTTGGTACCAGGGATCGAATTCAGGTCCTTGCGCTTACGAGCCAGGCACCGGAACCATTGAGCTAAATCCCCAGCCCTGATGCTGCCCTTCTGAAAAACATTCAACCTGTTTGAACAGGAAAATGAAGCCAAATGGGAAGTAATTCACCAAACTCTGCCCCATATAGGAGGTGCACTATTGATTCTCCGTGCTACACACTGTAGTCTCAAAATTAAACCATGGTAATAGAAATTGAGCTAGTACCATCTTTTTTCTAACACTGCAAACCTAAAAATATTTGCTATACATTAAAATTTACTTTTATCACATACAACAATGTTTAAGGCCAATGATTCTTGTGGAAAAGATGGTGAAATAAGAGATTTGGGAGAATCTTTTATCCCCTTCCTATACTAGTCTAAATCTTAGGATATGTCTCATTCAACACACTGAGCTCAAATGTGTTTTGGAATAGAAAACTTTTTGATTTTACAAAGGTAACACAGGACATGCAACATATATTAGTATTTTTGCCGGTAGCGACTGGGCAGCAATCTTTAATCACAGGGGTGGGGGTGTAGCTCAGGAAGAAAGTCATCGGCTAGTTTAAGAGGTGCAATCATTGTTTAGGAGGCCTGAAACGGTTTCTAGGTAGCAACTACAGTTAATATCAGTCATTTAAAGTAAGACCAAAGAGCTGGGCCTGTAGCTCTATGCAGAACACTTACCTAGCACTCACAAGGCCCCAGGTGTTGCCCATCAACCCCTTCTCCCCTCGCCAGGGTGTGGGGGGGGGGGGAACAGATTATTTCTGTTGTGAAACTCCTGAATATCTGAATATTCACAATAAATGAGTTTATGTTATACTTAGGGGGGAAAATAATACATTTTCAGGGGCCAGAGATTTAGCTCAGTGGCACCACGCCTGCTTCACAAGTACAAGGTCCTGAGTTTGATCCTGGTACAGGGAGGGGATGGGAGATGCATTTTCAGAGTCTTCTCATTATGAGAACAGAAATTTGGCATTACAGACGTGTATGTGCAAAACATGGACATGTTTCTTACTAAGGAAAGCTTCTCTTTTTCGTTTTCAAAAACAAGGCGCAGGGCCGGGGATTTAGCTCAGTGGTTTCACTGCCTGCTGTGCAAGCGGCAAGGACCCGAGTTCGATCCCTGGTACCAAAAAAAAAAAAAACAAGGTGCAGCTGGGCAAGACCAGCTACTCACAAGGCTGAGACCCGAGGATTCCATGAGCCAGGAGTTCAAGACCAGCCTGGTAGGCAACACAGTGTGACCAATTACAAAAAACAGTCACAAAATATAAAATAAGCACTTTCCCTTTTCCTTTTATGGGGATTGAAGGCTTCATCTTTTACTTGTAATTAAAATGATCTGCATCATTACAGTAATTTTTTAAAAGATCATTAATCCACTAACAAGGAGCCATAGAAAGATACTAAATTCAATTTGATTTAATTTTCTTTAGCCAATGAAAAGGCTAATATAATCAAACTTAGAAAAGATACAAGAAAAAGAGTGAGAGAATCCATAAATCTTGATCAAAGAGTTGTGATGGATGCTAAGACATTTAGATTGTAATAGCACCAGCACTATGGCTTGGCTTCAGATGTTCCAGGTAGGACTTCATGATTCAATATTCTCTTCTCCCAAAGCCACACTAACCATCATTAAGGAAAATTACCACAGTCCAACAGCAATCTAAGAAGAAGCAGTCTTTAGTAACCCTACATTTTAGCCACCTGTGCAAAATGTATGCATATATTACCAAAATTATGCACACAATGTACACAGAACTGCAAAACTTAAGAGGTGAATTTTACTTAAGAAATTGAGTTTCCTTCACAAATTGGGTTATGGTGGTAAAATATATGAAACAAAATTTACCAGTTCAAGCACATTTAAGTACACAATTAAGTGGCATTAAGTATATTCACAATACTGTATGACTATCACCTTGTTTCCAAACCTTTCCCACCACTGCAACCCAAAACTTTCTTAATTACTTGACAATAATACCCCCCCTCCCACACACACACACTCCTACAACTTCTGGTACATTTAATCTGTCTAACATTGTGTCTCTTATAAAGTTACCTATCTAGGTATTTCATAGAGGTGGGCTCATAAAATACGTGTCCTTTTGTGGCTGACGTTTCATTTAGCGTGTATTTATACTTCACCACGTAGTAGCAGGTGTCAGAGTTTCATTCCTTTTTATGGCTCAGTAGTATTCCACTGTAGGTATATACATACAGCACATTAGCTTATCTATCCGTCTGGTGAGGGACACTTGAGTTGTTTCTACCTTTTGAATACTGTGAATGAGACTGCAATGAACATGCGTTTATCTATATCTCAGTCTCCATTTTCAGTTCTTTTGTCTATATACCGAGGAATGGAACTGTTAGGTCACAGGATAATTCTAAGTTTAACTTTCTGAGGAACTAACTATTAAACTGTTAGAAACTAAGTTTTAAAATTAATTTTAATATGCCAAAATTTCATTTTGCT